GTACACTTGAGTGAGCTCATTTGCTTTTGAGCAAAGGGATAATATGGCCCTAAATAACGTGCTTTCCTGTCTGCCAGGAGGGTTGCGTTCCGGGAGTTTGGAGAGGTGTGTTTGCAGGTGGGTGTGGGAGGCGGGCAGGGTCGAGGAGGCAGGGAAGCGGGCAGCACAAGGGGCAGAGGCAATTCAGTTCCTCACCTGTGAGCATATTCCCACTGATGTCCAAACCTTCCCACTCCCTCACTCGGCAGTAAGGAAGAAGGAAGAGCCAGACTCGCAGGGATGGTATTCCAGCCCTCCAACGGAGGAGTAACGTATGCGGGTCTGGGGCGAATGAGATGCACAATTCTAGTAAAAGATTTTCATTGGCTGCACTGAAAGGATCATAAAGGGACACAAAGAGGCTACCTCTGGCATCGCCATCATAAACAGAGCTCGTGAGTGGGGAGGTGGTGTCTTCCCCTGTGTCAAAAGACAAAATTACGACAAACCTAGTTAAAAGTCTAATTGGCTTTTATTCTTGAATTATGAATCCGGCAGCCTCCGTTCTATAAAATAGAATGAGATTCCCGTTGGGCAATGGCAGAGGAGTGGGTTTTGTAAGGTGGGAACAAGGAAACAGAGCAACTGTAAAAAGGCTGATTGGTTAACATGAGGTTACTTTCCTTGTAAGGGTTAAAGCAGAGGGGACATCCTTATGACCCTGACTTAGGTAAACTGAGCTCTTTCTGACTGGTTGCTGTGAATCTCCTGTTTTGGGGAAAAACTGGTCTGTTTGGGGATCTACCTGCTTTCTTTAAGTTTATTAAGTGGTACTTAGCATGAGTGACTCCACTTCGGTTCTGTCTGTCGGGACCTAGTGCAGGAGCTCAGTCCAAAACAATAGCTTCCCATCATTTTCGTTTGACATTTGAAATGTGCGATGCAGAGAGGAAAGGAACTATCTGCTTTGGTCGTTTTCCTCAAGGACACCGCTATCAGCCTGAGTCAGCATTTCTTTGTGCTTCTGGTGTGATACTGTATGTTATGGGGTTGAATCATTATTCCCCAGACAGATATGCTGAGTCCTAACCCCTGGTGTTTGTGACTGTGACCTTATTTGGAAGTAGGGTCTTTAAAGACGTCACCGAGTTAGGATGAGGTCGTACTGGATTTGGGTAGGCCCTCATCCCATATGATCGGTGTCATCACAAAGAAGACAGACGGGAGAGACACAGGGGAAGGTGAACCATGCAGAGACGGAGGCAGAGAGTGCTGCTATCACAGCCAAGGAACGTCTGGGGTTACCAGAGCTGGACTTTGGAAATAGCATGGCCTTGCTGACATCCTATTTTAGGGCTCTGTCCTCCAGACCTGTGAGAGAATAAATTTCTGTTGTTTCAAGACACTGAGATTGCCATACTCCAGCAGCCCTAGGAAACTCATTTATGGCATTCTTACAGCGGGGGTTGGCGGGGGTTGTAAGCCCGGGGGGTGATTAACAGCAGGGCCTGTGGATTCAGCTTTCCAGGGTTCAAATGCCAGCTCTATTACTCAAGGGTTGCTGGGGATCAACCGAGTTGATGTCTGAAGATCATTTATACTGAAGGCTGGCCCCGGTTAGCACTGCCCAGTGTGGGGTGCTGTTACTGTGGCCAGGGCTAGCCCTTTGCTCCAGTGGTTGCTCTGATTAGAACTTGGGACTGAAAAAGTAACCCACCTGGGTGGGTTGGTGTTTTGGGTTTTGATTTTTTTTTTTTTAAGGCTCCTTAACCTTGCTATTTAATAATTTAGCCAAATTCTCTTATTTTTGTAGAATATTGGAATCTCAGATATAGAAGAGAGCTTAAAAATTATTTAGTTTCCAGTCCACTTTCTGCCATAGAAGCATTTCCTCTACCACTTCTCAGCCCTTGGTTTTCACTGTCTTCACCTGGACACCCACAATGCTGGAGAATTCACTGCCCTATGGGGAAACATTTTCCACTTGCTAATAGGCTGACTTTTAAGTTTTTCTTCATATTGAAAAAAATCTGTTTCCCTGTCTGTCACTTCCTCTTTGGAGCTACAGAGAAGACTCTTCAAATTAACTGAGCGTAAAACGTGAAGACAGCAGCCGTGTTCTCTGTGAGTCTTCCCCACCACACATCCTTCCACTCCGAACTCTCCTTGTGTAACTTGGTTCCTCTGGAGTGCCTGGGAATCGCTCCAGCTCTTGTAAATGTGGGGGCTGGATTTGACCTGGACACTTTGGACACTTTGGGACTCATGAGGTCTCCTATAGTTCAGCCCACCCTGTTCTTTTCTTTCCCTTCTCTTCTTTCCTCGACTAGCTGTCTCTTGTCTCTGCTTTGGGGAGCCACGTACAAGTTTCTCTAAAATGGTAGTTACGGTCTACTCAACAGTTGATGCAAGCACCTTGTTCTCACAGTGCTTTCTTATTAATTTTTTCTCTTACTTATTACAAGTGTGGGTTATAGCAAGTAACAGAGGTGCTGAGGAAACAGATTTTGATACCAAATATAGTAAAACAAAAAAGCAAAAAAAAATTCTAGTGTTTGATATTTGGGGATGTTCATGATCCAGAGAAGTAATAAAACAATCCTCAGATCAAAAAGCCACCAGGCAACCTCCATACGTTTTTCAAAGCTAGGCCTCCTTAATACCAGCGGTACCAGCAGCTTCTAACTTGCCCCGTCTGTCAGGTTTCCGAATTAAGGGGCGCAGGCATGGAGTCGGTGGGGATTGAACCTGCCTTCCCCGGGGTCTTCACCCTGCATTTCCCTTCAAACTGTGCCCTTACAAGGATCATGTGCCCCCCTGCCCCGTGACCCTCCCTCCTGTTTTTATCTGGGGCTTTTCTATGGGCTCCTTCTGTGATGGGCGTGGGGTCAGCCTGAACGGGATCCTCGGTTTTAGAAGGTGTTGCTGTTTGCTGGATTTCAGGGAGGAGACCTGTGATCCCAGAATCTATCTTTGATATCAGCAGTTAGAGTGTCCAGATCAACGTAGGCCTTTCCCAACACTAAGTGGGCAGTGCCGGTTATCAGGAGACACCAGAGGTCAGTAAGGCGCATCTCACCCCAGTGCCAGCAGCGGTTTGTGCACCATGACACTACACTGAATGTATGTTTAAATAAAGAGGCTGGTCATTGACCATAGATTAGTCTGAATAATCCAGACCTTAAAAAACTTCCCCACATTGGACTCTTTGGGAATTGTCTAGTTGGGTTTAGGGGACAAGACCTTACCCCGGTAGGCAGAGATGGGCTTTCCCAGAAGGGAATGAATGTCTTCACCGCCAATTACCCTGTGAAATGGTTAATCCTGAAGAGCAAATAGCATTTTTGACAGCATTGTTTAGTGGGCAAGAGTATGGAATCTACAGCCAGACTGCCTGGGTTCCAGCTCCAGATTGGCCACCAATTAACTATATGACCTTGAGACAAGTTACTAAACCTCTCGAAGTCTCAGTTTTCTTATCTGTAAAATAGGCATAATAATTGAGCCTGCCTCATGGAATTTTAAAACAACTATTAAGTAAGTTAATAACTTTAAAATATATATAATGGTGCCTGGCATAGAGAAAGTGTTATGGGTTTGTTTTTATTAAATAAATTGGAAGTCCCTCTTCCTGTTTCTAGGGCTGGGTGGTTTGGGGTCTGGAGGTGCCTGAAGAAGTCAGGAGGTCGGGTGAACTGCCGTGGGTTACCTCAAAATGAACCGGAAGTCAGACAGCTTTTATCTCTGCTGGGTCAGCATCTAAGCTGGTGTCTTAGGCTCTCCACCAGAAGAATCCAGCCAGTTTTGAGGGAGGAAATCTCAGTTACTCAGGTGACCTCCTGCCTCCTGTTTGTGCAGCATCCTTCTCGTCACCTGCTGCCCAGTGTCCTTCCTCGAACTCCAGTCTCAGCCATCTTCCCAAAGCACATTTATGGACAGGGCAGGATGGAGCTGCTCCAGAAAAGCCGAGAGCTGGTACTGGTGACTTTGGTGGCTCATCTTGGAGCCCTTGTAGCAATCTTAACTCCAGGGCTCCCCCAGGTGCAGAACAATCTTGTTGAAAAATGTGGGCACTGCGGCCTCACCTCAGTGATCTGAGTGCTCCAGACTCCACTGGTCCTAATGAGGCTCGCCCTGGCGGGCCTCGAAGGCCCATCTCATGTCTCCTCGCTGTGACGAAGGCTGAGTCTGATTCACTGATGGGTAGAGGAAAATACCTGACTAAATAACTGTATGGCATCTGATACATCTCCAGACTCTGAGCAACAGATCTATCATTCACTTATATCCACATAGGTATCAGAGGTCTTCGAAATCTAAATATACCTATTAATAGCCCAAGGACTCTTTCTGATCATGCTTTCGATAGTTCCGTAGCCTCCAAAGAACAACAACTGCCCTGGGGATTAAAATTCATGCTTCTAAAAGCAAAATGGGCCAGGCGTGGTGGTGCCTGTAGTCCCAGCTACTCGGGAGGCTGAGGCAGGAGGATTTGAGCCCCAGGGTTTTGGTGAGCTGTGATGGCACCACTGCACTCCAGCCTGGGTGACAGAGTGAGACTCTGTCTCTAAAATAATTTTAAAAATTAAAAGAAGAAAAATGTTTCTGAATAAAGGTAATGAAATTGTCTGAGTGAACAGCATCTCTTTGTTGGAATTTGTGTTTCCAGAAGCACTCTGCAGTTGCTTATTAATCATGATACCAGAGGGCAGATGGATTTGTCACACAAGGAAGCCAAGCCCATCATGACAGAGGACTTGATCTCATTGCTTAGAGCCAGGTTGTTTCTTGATTCTAAATGCATTTCCTTAGAAGTTGAAGTCATCTCCACGTAAAACTTGTGTGTTGTTAATGCATCCAGAACAGTGCCTGACATATGCTTGGCATATCCTTGTTGAATAAATGGATGCCATTTAAAAATATTCAAGGATGCTGTATTTTTGGCTATTTTGAAGAGATGTCTGTATCACAAGAATCATCAATTTGATACAACATAGAACAAAATGATTACCCGGCCCGACTAGCATTGCACTTCAATTGTTTATTAAGCATTTATCCACAGGACGAAAGACAACTTAAGGACTACAGATAGACTCTCAGGTCACATGATCATAGACTGCCCTGGAAAGTAATTCAATAGGCCTTTCCTGCCACCTCAGACGGCTTCAAGAACATGCAAACCTATGATTTTTTAATCAACAAAAATCACAAATAATAAATCAAAGCTATAGCCACTGGGATTGACTTTTCATATAGCAAATCATATTTCTTCATTGGCGAGACACTGAACAGACATAACCACAAGCCTCTAGTGACTTTGGAGAAAGACACGTGAGCCACACACAGGAGCCACAATGACATTTATTTTCTTCTCGTTCCAGTTTTCAGATATACTTCTTTTCAACTCTTGATCTCTACAGGGAAAAAAAGAATAGCATGAACATATGGCCATATTTAAAAACTGAAAAATAAGAATCGTGTCGACTTCTTGTTTGAATACTGGGAAGGAATATGCTATTTCTCCTACACTGAGATGTAGGCAGCTGTGCAATGTAAGAGTTTCAACTTAAAGAAAGTTTTATTGCTGATCTGGCTTCTCTAATGACAAATTGTATCACTGTCAACTAGAATCTTTGCCTAATTTTTTACCCTCTGTAAAATAGGAATAGTTCCTACTTTCTCTCAGAACTATGGCCATGTGGATATGATGTGGTAACCTCAAATAAGCACCAGTAAAACCAAGATATTAAGATTATCAATATTCTAATTAATCTGGCCAAAATACATATATGCCTTAGGATTTACTATTGTATGCTGTAGTTTTTTTTAAAAATCGAATCCTGTTTTTACCGCTGAACCTACAGCAAGTATAACAACCCCCTTATGATAGTAAGTTGCCTCGATAAATACCATTTGAAGAAATCTGAGGGGAAATTATAGAGATTGAGGTAAGAGAATAAAAAGTAAACACCTAAGTTTTTAAAGACTGATCATAATGTATTGTTCCTTCTACTTCTTTAGCCTGCACATAACGTGGTTTTCTCTTCCTCATCATGAGGTGGAGGGAATCCCGTCCCTTAGCGCCCAGTGGCCGAGCTGGGAGGGGAGCGGGGACCCTGGCCCTGGAGCCCAGGGAACAGGCGGAAAGGGACAGGAGCCCACCTGCGGCTGGCCCTCTCCTACTCCCGCTCAGCGCTCAGCACGGCCGCCGCCAGCTCCGTGATGTGCTCCCAGGCGAGCCGCACGTGGGCCGACTCCACCGTGCGAGAGCAGATGGCAAAACGCAGGACAAACTTGTCTCTGAGGTGACATGGGACCAAGTGGATTTTTTTGGCACTGTTTATTCTTTGCAGAAGAGCTTCGTTCAATTTGTTGGAGCCCTGGAGGGATTGAAAAAGAGGAACTGTGCTCAGATCTCTGATGACTCAAAAATTCAATGAATCACGTTGGAAGCCAGCATGTGGTGATATCACGATACCTCATTCACCTTGCATTTACGATGTTACAAAATCCAGCGAAATAATGGTAACACACCCTAAAAGACTTCATCCTCTCCCTACAATTTCCCTTTGTTCTAATGTGCTGTCAAAAGATGACCCCACCCTTGGTCCAAGTCTTTTAAGAAAAATGAAGATCCCTAATACGTCATCTCCAAATTGATGATCTTAAACAGCAGAGCTGGGGTTTCTGGGATTTCTAAATTCTCATAGCAACATAGAAGTCGTCTCAACAGCACAGAAAATGAAGCACAATGGTCAAGCTATTGCTAGACTCTGGGAAAAATGTCTGTGAACCGCAGGACCGAGGGCCCACCCTCTGGAAGAGCGCGGCCCCCCAGCCTGGGCACCCTGCCCCGGCTGCGCCTGAGATGAAATGCTTGTACCAAGCAGCAAACGAGCGGCCCCGCTTTCGTGCCTGGGCCCTGCTTCCAGGCCAGCCAGTCTCATGACCCTTCTCTGGCCCCCTCCACCCCGTCTTTCTCCTGTTTCCACACAGTGACTCCACTTCCTCTGAGCCACAGAGTCTAAAGTGGAAGGGGCTGAGCAAGGGGCGTTACATCCTGGTCCTGTGCCCCTCACGGGACCGTGCTGCTCGCCCTGGCCCTGCCTTCAGCGTCAAGAGGCAGCGAGAGTGGGTGGGAAGGGACGAGTCCAGTCTGCCCCGCAGGACCACAGCAGTCAGACCAACACCGCTGGCTGCTGGAAACCGGCCGTGTCCCGTGCGAATCCACCCAGCCTCTCGCCGTCGGCCTGAGCGTGGCTCCTGCTGTGCCCAAGCGCACAGCGACCGGCCAGAGGCAGTTCAGAAACTGCGGGCGCACACCAGGTCTGGACCAACGTGCTCCCATTCAAGGATGAGGATAGAGAAAGAAGAAATTAGGGTAGCAAGGGGATGGAATTTTACCAACATGACTGAGAATGAGAGCAACATTTGAAAATTACAGAGCGCAGAAAATGAAAGCCAATCATCTAGGAAAAACATGCTCAACAAGATAGTGCTCTCACAAAGGAGAGGCGGCAGGCCGAGCAGAGAACAACGACAAAAATAGCTCGAGTGACGCACAGAGGAAGGACGGGCCGAGATAAGGACGGAGCGAAATGGACTCGGTGCGTCACAGCGACGTCATGTCTACTTTAGGCTGAATATGCAGCCATGTTCTATGCTGAAGCTTCAGATGCAGAGGGCTTGGGATTCAGACTGGAGAGGAACAGGACAAGAAGATAACGAGATCGTAGCCATGGAGACGGAAAAATGAACCACAGTGTTTGAGTAGTGTGCTTCCTCCAGGAGAAACTGGGTTCATGGAACGGAAGCAACAAGTGAAGCCTCACAAAAGTAAATGTTTGTTGGCTGAAATCTGCCCGGGGTGTGCTGCGTGGGAGGGCTCGCTCTACGGCACAGGAGAAGGGACAGAAACCAGCATACAGACAGGGTCACGGGAATCTGTACATTATGCAAATAAAAGTCTTAACGTTGACAACACTATGCAAAGTGAAAGAAGCCAGTCACAAAGGGCGGCCTATTGTACATTTATACAGACATCCAGAATAGACGAGTCCACGGAGATAGAAAGCAGAGGAGAGGCCCTAAGGGTGGGGATGGGGAGTGACTGCTGATGGGTGTGGAGTTTCTTTTAAGAGGATGAAGAGGTTTTAAAATTAGATTGTGGTGATGGCTGTGCAACCCTGTGGATATTCTAAAAATCACCCAAATGTACACTTTAAATGGACAAAGTGATTACATCTCAGTAAAACAGATAAAAATTAAAATACAAAAGTCCTACAAAAGCAGTGGCAGTAAAAACAAAAACAAAACCAACTGCTGAGTGCAGACAAGTCTAAGCACAATGTCAACACCGAGGTGGCTTGAATTGCCACGTCTGGTCTCCCGTACAAAACGCACGCTCCGGGACATGGTGCCGTGGGGCTTCCCTCGCACACACCCGCGGCGCGTCCTGCCCTCGTTCCTCTGCACACCTGCACGCAGCTCTCATCACCTGGTGCTCTTTGGTGAGCTCGCATGTCCCGGGCAGCTCTCATGCCAGAATCTGCTCTAGCTCTGCTGCTCCAGGCTTGGAAAAGCCTGGGTCTCAGCCCCACCTCAGAGCTCCAAGCATCACCCAGGCAGAGGAAGTGGTAATTGAAGAGGTGGGGCCGCATTTTGGTGGCAGCCCTCTGACGGTGACACCGAGCCCAGCCTGCTCTTCACTGCTGCCTTTCACTTGAGCAGGGAGGCCTTAAAAGGCCGGAAATGGATTCAGAAGGTCTTGGGGAATTATCTCAGTACAGGTCAGCGCGTTAGGTCTCATGCGGCTCTGTGTGCACAGGGGACGTTACCAAGGGGACGTTACCAAGGGGGTGTGTGCAACATATCTCAGACCTTTTGAGAAGCGTGATCTTGTTTGTCAGCAGAGATGGCTTATGGCCCAACCTGCCCAGGCCACCTCTTCTTCCCCGGTGAACACATGCAGCGCCAGGCAGCAACACAGCAGCTTATAAAGAACAGCACATCTTAGACTCCTGCATGGGGTCTTGCCAAAGTGCAGTCGGCAAGTCTGGGGGGGGCTAAGATTGGCTTTTCCAACCAGCTCCCAAACGGTGCTGATTAATTAGGCTATGGACAGGTCACTGTCCTCCAGGGAATTCCAGTAGCAGAGATGTGGGCTGGAGGCTTGGGGATGAAAACAATGGTGAGGGTTCTAGGGCAAATGAACCACAGCAGCAAGAAGTCTGGAAGGGAGTCCTGCAGGGTTAGGCAGGGGCAGGCCCCAGGCTGGAGAAGGCAGGCTTTGTTCTGCGGCCTCCGGGAGGCAGTGCAAGCCTTTGAGCCTGGAGGTAATGAATGACACTTTCCCCTCTGTCCTATTTAACCAAAGTGAAGAAATCGGAAATAGACATTAACATACCTTTAGCCGAAAACAGACAAGCCCCAGAATGACCTGGGCACAGATTTCAAAGCGAGGATCCTGGCGCACCAATGACTCAAACTCGTGAGACAGCTGGACATGCTTGAAAGAGAAAGGGGAAAATCTGTTTGCGTTTCTCATCGCCACTTAATTCCGAACTTAACCACCTAGAAAACCTTATTAGACTGCACATGTATAATTCATTTTATGCTCTTAGCAATTTTCAAGTGTATGTGCCGTCCACTCACCAGCTGTTGGCAAGCAGGCTGAGAAGAAATGCGTTCATTACCATGAGAAAAGGCCTAGCGTCTTCAGAAAAACACTGACCATCATTTTCTTCTGTTCGTGGGACTATTTTTTATCCCACCTAAACAGTCTTTTGTAATTTTAGAATAAACACCGTGAAGAGCCATTTGAACAGTCTAGAAGAGATAATGGCTAACATCCACAAGACTCCATTGTGCCAGCCATGCCGAGTGCGTCAGCACCGCGCCATCCTCAGGACAACCCACAGCACAGGTGATACCCATTTTGCAGATAAGCAGACCGAGGCTCAGAGAGGGTAAGAGACAGGCCACGGTCCTAGGTCCTACAGCTAAGGCCTTGGCGGAGCTGGGATTCTAACGCAGCTGCCTGACGCCAGCACTTCAGTTCTCCGGGGCCGCTGTGGTGGCCGTTCCACGGCGCGGTGTTTGCCACCTGGAGGTGGGAATCACATACCCCCACCCCCCACCCCCGTTACGCTCAGGAACTGCCTATTTCTCATTGAATACGCCAACCTATTTAACGTCTAGATGTTTATAGAACTCGAAAGCTATTCAAACAGTACGTGATCCTAGGAGAACGGGCTCTTTATGGTCTACATGGCACGTCCTGCTCATTCTAAGCCCAGGCCCCGATGGGCGCTCGCGCTGCAGGTGCTCAGGCGGCTCCAAGCGGAAATACTGGGCCGTCAGCGCCGTTTGAACGGGCGGGTCCCAGTCGCACCACCAGAGGGCGCCAAAGACTTTGTCCTCCGAGGTGACCCGCAAGCAGGCCTTGACCATGGGTAGACCCTCCTCCTGAGGCCGGATGGGGTACCTTTCGGAGAGGGATGGGTGTGTTTTTAACATGACACAGCATAATCACAACTGGTTGTCTTTGAACTTAAAGATGTCATTATCGTGGAGAGATAAACCACTCATTTTTTTGCCTTCTTTCCCCAAAGAAGCTGAATTCGCCCTCATGGCAATGTTCCCATCCCCCTTCTCCTTCAGTGGGGAGAGGACAGCTTACCCGAAAATGCACATGCACGCTCCCCTCCAGATCCCCCCCAGAACAGAGTCTCTAGTGCTTGACAGCTCCCATAGCTTTCCTCAAACAGCCTGCGAGGTGACAGATGCTGTTGGTGGCACAGGATGGGCACTCCGCAAACGCCTGCAGACGGACGCCTTTCCATGCACCCGGCCCCAGAGGAAGAGCCCAGAGACATCAGCTCCCACTCTTGGCTGCACAGCTGGTCCCACAGCGTCACCAGGACTTAAAATGAAGGGCCGTCGCTATCACTAGGGCTGAAAACCTCAGGAGCGTCTCTCCCCGTGAAGCTTAGGGACGCCTGTCTGTCCAGAGAGGCTGCAGCTGGAACCAGCAGGCCTTCCACAGCTGGCTAAATGGGTGGGCCCTGGGCAAGTTCTGGCGCACGTTCAGGCCTCAGTTTCCCCAATGGCTAAGAAACAAGCAGGGCTGTTTTTAGAGCGGCTCCCCAGTTTGCGTGCACAGCACAGGTGCCTGGGGCACGTGCTAACACAGAGGCTGCAGCTCCTGGCCGGGAGGCGTGTCTGAGAGCCGCTAGAGTGGGTGGCATCTGGTGCAGCCCAGCTCTAAGATGCTCCTACTCTGGCAGTGTTTTGGAGAGAAAAACATTGTGATCTCGCTATTGCCGTTGCTGCAAGAACCTCACTGTCAGCCAGACGTGGCTAAAGTGCAACCTATGTGCGGTTTTTACTTCGATTGTCTTCCTCGAGCTGATAAACTGTAACCCTAGTGGAAGTGACTAAAGAGATCTTATAAGTACCTTCATCTCAACAACCAAAGTACAGTCTGTTCCCTTACCATATGTTTGCTTATTAATACATCTGAATTCGTTTCTAAAGTCCCCTAAAAACTCCACAATATTACCCAGATAAGTAATGAAAAGGAAGTCACCTTGCGGATATAAGCCTGCAGTCCTTTCACTCCATACATCCTAAAAACAAACCACATTTTCAAAGAGCGAAATCTTCGACCCAGGGGTAACTGCCAGTGCTGAAACAAAACATAAAACAGTGCATCAGGGAGGACTGTCTTAGGAGCTGGGTTCGTTTCCGACTCATCAGTTCACCTGTCTCTCTCGGAGGCAGCTAATTCCTGGTGGCCACCGCACCCTGGCTGCCGTGACCATCTTGGACACAGAGCCCCCGTGATGTGAGCGGCTCCATAGCACGGGGCTTTCTTTGCACCGCTCCGAGAGAGGCGAGGACGGACAGGCCTGCTGAGCTGGGAGGCGCAGCTGCTCATTGTTGTCACTCCACAGATGTTTGTGGAGCGCAACCTGGGCACCCAGGGCCGGGAGTACCTAGCGAGTCGATCCGTGGGGATGCGGGGCGTCTCTCATTGGCATCTCCGCCCATGAAGAAGATGCTTAAGGCTGACGCCCACACTCCTCTGCTGCTTGCCGCCGCTGACATCCTACACCGTTTTCTAGAGCAATATTGCTTCCATTTCTGTGCCACCAATCACTGTGGAATGACCCAAGACCCCCTCACCAGAAAACATGTGTGTCTATGTGTTGGTCCTTCAGCAAGCTTTCCTTAGTTTTCCCAGCCTTTGCCCGCTGACTGGCCCTCCATGTTCTGTGGACTGCTCCCGATGGCCGGGAATGTCATACAGCCAGTGGGAGAGGACAGGGCGAGGAGGACAGGCCTTTTGGGAAGACAGCATAGTGGCACTTCGTGGCTGTCTTTTAAATAATAATATTCTATTCGAGCTTATAGAGGAAATGTTGAGGGTTACTCCTACCAGCAGAGGAGAGTGGGGACGGGCTCCCCATGGGGGTGGAGCAGTGCCGGGCAGTGAGGCAAACACCCCAAACCCACCCAGGCGTCTGCCAGGGGGCCCCCGTGGGCTGCCCAACCCAAGTCTGGCACTGCCCCGGGTAGTAGGGCTGGCAGGCGGTTTTAAACAGTGAGTGTCGAACAATCGAATGGATGCCACTTCTGAACTGCGAGAGAAGCAGCCCGTGGGGCCCAGAGCAAGGGCTCTGCAGAAGCTTCTCAAGTTGCAGAGAGAAGCGCAGAGCCAATGTTTAGCTGCAGAGCCGTTCAATATGGTTCCCCAGTGATGCCAGGCCCGTGCTAGGTATACTGACACATCATCGCATTTCAGCTTCCTAACAGCACTGCAAAAGGGGGGTTTGTATCTCACTCTGCTAGAGAGAAACCAGGCATGGAGAGTGACTTGTCCAATGTCAATGAGCCAGAATGTGGCAGAGCCTAAATCACACCCACGGACGCACTGCTGTCTTTCACTTAGCAATGCATTTGCAAGCTGTTGAGATGTTCAGTATAAATTAAGCTAACTTGCCTTGGGAAGAGAAGCAGCTCTCACCACCTAACTAACTAACTTACTAACTAGCTAACCAATGGCCAGGAAAGCAGTAGTCCCTGCCCTTGTTCAGCACGGTTGCTGCATTCCAAAATCATTCGTCCGCAGGTCAGCCTCCTAGAAATTAACATGTGATTTAAATCTAATATTTGGAAGAATACCAAGGCAAACTTAATTTCTGTGGTACTGGAGCAAAAACGCACACAGTTTAACTGAATATTCACACAAATGTGGCTTAAAAATGCTGCCATTACCTCTCCAGAGCCGAAGCAGGGCTGGGTCAGCGGCACCACCCAGACCCCGCACCCCTTCCCACACGGTCCTTGGCACCTGCTCAGACCACAGTAGGACTTGCCGTGAGGGGGGCCTCATCTCCCACTAGACTACAGTTTCCCAGGGGCCAGGGACTCCGTCTTGTTTGCCATTTTAGTCCCAGCCCCAAGCCCAGCACCCGGCCTGGCTCAGAGCAGGTGGAACATTGCTGACTGATGTGCTTAAATAACCCAGAGGGAAACCCACCTACCCTCGTGCACAGGTTGTATAAAATGACTCCACGTGGAGAAGTAAATTTGTATTTGAGGCTTCTCAGATATCAAATGAGCTATTTTCCAGTACTTTTCCATCCACAATTAAAAATTTGTAACCCTGTGTTTTGTCCCACCTTTGATAAGCCACCAAAATGTACGGGAAGATGCAGCGTCTTCATCCCAATAGCACAGCGGGCCGTGGGGGCAACGTGTGGGCTTGTGAGCCTGGTCCTCGGTCCTGACTCACGACTAGGTTCAGCAAGTTCTTTTAACTTTTCTGGACCTCTGTGCCCTCACCTGTGAAATGGACGCGACGATGCCCACTTTGCCCTGGACCAGGGAAGCTGGAGGCCAGCACCGCCATCTCTACATGTTCAGTCCGCTGTTCGCAACCAGAAACAACACAGAACTGCTCTGCCAAACCTCGTTCCTGAACGACCTCCTCTTGGGGCCAAGACTCTGTCTGTGCCCTCGTTCTCCGGTGGGTGGACAGTCATGCCAGGGCCCGCTCGTTCCCTCCATCCCACCCTTCGCAGGTGGCCAGGTCGGCAGCCGAGCACCCCGGGGTCTTCTCCCCGCCTAGTGGCTGTGACAGCCTTAGGTTTAAGTTTCCAACTTCTTTGAACAAAACAAGAGCGTCTGTGATGTTCCTTTCTTCACTGCCTGTGATATTCTTTCCTTCAGCTGCTGAGCCCGGTGAAGAGGCCGGGATCTGGGGGCATTTGCCTGGAATTCACTTTAAAGGAAGAATCCACAAAAGAGCCCTGGAGGTGCGAGTGAGCACATCAGACAGGGAAGAGGTTCTGCATTCTGGCTACGACAGGGGCAAAGATGACACGCCAGAAATACGGTCAGGGAGCTCCGGGGTTGTGGCAGAGGGGGAGCATCAGGTGGGAGGTGGTGACACCTGTCCCTGTGCCTGTGCCCACGAGATTGAAGGGGCAAAGCCAGGGTGAGACTGGTGCCTCAGGCCCTTTGCACAACAGGCCCAGAGACTGGCTATCACACTCACACCTGGCCCACCTGTGCGTTCTTTCCCGGTGGTGCTGCCCTGCATCTGTCCCTCTGTGACCACTGCTACTTTCTGGAGATGGTGTGTCAAGGACTAACTGATGTGCGCCTGTGCTCCAAAGTAATTTCTGTCATCGTCTTCATTCAATCTTCCATAAAGTCCACGCGTGTGTCCATCCATTAGCCATGAAATATGTGCTGAGAATACACGACGTGCCATCCCCGCTCTCTGTAGCGACCCCACAGCGCAGAAGGCACAACGGTCCCGAGGGCCTCCCCAGCCAGGTGGACGTCAGCGGGGCCAGGCTGCCGTCGTGCTTCACACCTGCCCGGACACGGCTCCCTTGAAACAGCAGGTGGCCAGAGCAGGGCTGTCCACACGCGACGGGCGACTCACACGCTGCCAGCACGCGGTGCCTGGGACTTCAATCGTCAAGCACGGCAAACGGCAGGAGGAGAAGCTGGACCGTCAGAGGACCAGCTAAGGAGCTACGACATTTTCCCGTAGGCCAGAAGCAGCGATTGCAGAAGAGCGGGTGTTCCAGGTGTTTCCAGAATGGTCGTCAGGGCCTGGGTGGTCTGTACCTCGGTCTCCCTCGGTGGCCTGGGTGTCTGGGAGGGAGGTTTCGAGCCTTCCTCACCTCTGAGTAGCTTCCAGAGCAGCATGGAGTTCCTGGCTGGAAAGGGAGTGGCCAGTTCAGAGGCCGCCTCAACAGTCCGGGTGCCCAGCGGGACGGGTGGGACGGGCCTGAACGTAGAGCCGGAGCGTGGGGGGCTGATGCCTGAGCTTTCCCTATCGGAGGCCACGCCTTGCATTAAACTGGTAGAAATAACTGGTTGAAATATTTTTTTTTTTTTTTGAGACAGAGTCTCACTCTTTTTTGCCCGGGCTAGAGTCAGTGCCGTGGCATCATCCTAGCTCACAGCAACCTCAAACTCCTGGGCTCAAGCGATCCTCCTGCCTCAGCCTCCCAAGTGGCTGGGACTACAGGCATGCGCCACCATGCCCGGCTAATTTTTTCTATATATTTTTAGTTGTCTGATTAGTTTCTTTCTATTTTTAGTAGAGACGGGGTCTCGCTCTTGCTCAGGCTGGTCTCGAACTCCTGAGCTCAAACAATACACGCGCCTCGGCCTCCCAGAGTGCTAGGATCACAGGCGTGAGCCACCGCGCCCGGCCAGGGTTGAAGTATTAGTAACAGAGAGACAAAAGCATTCTGAGGAACGCGGAACCCCTCCCCGCAAGGCGCGTGGTGGACACCAGGCCTTCTGGATCAGCAGTGGGGAAGGGGCACAGCTTTTTTTTCCCAAAGATGTCGAAGCTGTGGAGGAACAAAAGTTAAAGAAGACTAAAAGGCGCGAAGTTTTCGCGTCCTGTGCCTAATTGCCCCATTTTCAGTCTTACACACTACAAAGTAGCTCGTCATAAGCGAGAAGCTACAAGATGCCCGCGGCATAATTCAGGAAAGCAAGAAACTGTCGTGGGGAAATAGATAATTATACTCCATACCGTGGAATTCCGTGTAGCCGTCCCATACTTACTAAGGCTGTGGAGCAGTATGGAGGGCATTGTGATTTCAGTTTCAGTGACACAGAAGCCAGCTGCGGCGTGGCCTGCACAGCATGTGGCGAGGCTGGGAAGGGTCAGAGCGGGAAGAGGAAGCAGCGAAAGCCACCGCTGTGCTGCGGTGGGGAGAGTAGGCGTGATCCGTCCTGAAACTGCTTTTAATATTATTGTCATATTTGCCCTTGAATAATAACTTTCTAAAATGTAAGCTGGATCCTAAGTAGGCATTTCGTATCAAACTGTCAAACAGCATAATTCGTGACCTTCCTGCTGTGCCCGTGCGCACACCCGGCCTTTCTCCCTGCTGCGGAGTGGGTGGTGCCAGGCAAGTTCACCCAAACTGTCCTAGGACAGGCCGTGGTGGCTTGGGAAGGCGTCTTGGTACCCTGCGACTCCCGGCTCGCAGCTGTCTCGGGAAGAGGGAAGGGCATTTGATGGCTTTGAGGGCCAGTCCCTGCTGGCTCATCGTGAGCTGCCGACGTGCTGGCCTGGAAGCTCTCAGACGCGCCTCTGTCAGGAGACGGCAGCCCTGCTGTGACGAGATCCGATGCCCATCACGTCTGACCAGAAAAGAACTGGACACCGGTCCCCTCTTGATGGGTGGTGGCAGCGACCCAGCAGGCCTGCCTTTGCGCTTGCGTGTCACCTCCCCGCTTGGGTTCCACTCTTCCGCTCAGCCTCCCAGCACTGCTTCTGAATCCACACTGCTTTCCAGAATAAGGCTGGGACAACCGGGCACCTTCAAGGTAACTTCACTCCACACTTGTGGCAAATCAAAAGGAGAGAGAACCGAGGTGATTGGAGGCCAGGCTGCTGGGAGGACGCCCCCTTCTGAGCGCTTCGTATGTCCTCTGCCTTCCCACTCTCCCACGCCCCCTGCGCACACGGCGGCCCAGGACACGGGGGCTGCACCACCTGCAAACAGCCCCTTCCCTTCAGCGGGATCAGCTGCAGAAGCCCCTTCCCCTTCCCAGGAGCAGAGTCGGGGCGGGGCCTCCTCACCTGAGACCTCCGATTTGTGGGGTCCACAGAGCTGCCCGCCACCTGGCAGAGCCACACCCTATTTGCCAGTGAGGACCCAGTTAGAGGGTGCCCGTCAGTGGGGCCTGGTCCTGAGAGTGAGGGAAGGAAGCAGGTGATATGGCGACGGATGTCCCCAGCACCCTGTCACACCTTGGATCACAGTGCAAGACACACCTCCCACTTACCCTGTAGTCAGTGATAAGCCCTGGAGAAAAGAGAAGGAAAAAGAAAAAGGAAACCATTAGACAGATTTGTTGATCATACACTCATCCTTCTCATCTTCCAGGTAAATTTCTTGTGTCACTTAAACCACCCAGGGATGGGGCTGGTGTTCTTTGTGCCACTTTCCAGTATAACATATTTGAGGGGAGTCCCCTGAGAGCAGGATGCCCAAAACACAAACGGGAAATGTCAAGTCATTAACGGACGCCCATTGGCTTTGCTTTCTGCGTTACAGGAGCATGAAAATCTGAGATTTCATCTAGCGCCCAGTGGTAAGCCAGCATTCAGGTCAGGCAGATCATTCCTCGCTCATTCATTCATGCATGGCAAGGTGAGTTGGTGATAAAAAAGAGTGAGCAGAATACCGAAAAAACGGGAGAGAATGAAACTCCTGGGGAGGTTGTGTCTCTGTGTCGTGGATCTGGCACAGAGCAGGTACTCTGTGAATAGCTGTCGAGTCGGTTTCACTGTCTGGGCGTTGGTTATGGAAACTGGCTGCGTGCACTTGAGTCCCCCTCACGCCTAAAGCAGTAACTCTGAGGATCACGGGGAGGAAAGAACCCTGCATGAGGTCTCACGAACGGCAGCTTCCACGAGTGACACTGGGCAAGGAATCAGTGAGAATTATGAGAACGTGCTGCAGTCCTGCTCCACGGGTGGTGGGACGGGGGTCCCGTGCTTTGGGAATCTGACCCACTCATGTAAGCTGGACAAGGCACATAAGTGTCCCCTGCTTCCTGGGTAACTGCAGCTGCAGCATGGCCATGGCAGGCCTTCGCCGTGCTCAGCTGGGACAAGCCCTCCACCTAACACGACCCGCATCCACCCTGATAGACTGCTGTCCATGCACTGCGCAGGAGGACAACATTATGTTTACGAGAACGTCTGGGGTCACCTGTCACTCCTTGACTGCCACTGGGCTGCCAGGAGAGAACAGCTGTTTTCTCAATTAAGAGAAAAAATAGCAATGCTGGGAAGACAAGTAGGACCATCGGGCTCAACCCCCTGTTTTACGAGTGACCTTGAGACAAAGGCTCAGAGCCACACAGTCTATCTTAACCCTAACGAGGACTCTTTCAGCCTCTCGTTAGTCACGGGGTCTCTTAAACAAACATAACATCAGCCCCAGGGGCCTCAGAAGTAACCTGACAGTGACTCATAGAAGCCAATGGAAATAAAACAATAGGACTCAAAAGAGTACTTGGTATTACAGTAGGCACTCAGTAAGAATAACCAGACGACGCTCAAGAATGACCTTCCTTTTCACTTTATATACGCACCTTCTGACATGGTAGCCACTAGCCACGTGTGGCTATTTAAATTTAAATTCAAGTAAATTAAGATGAAAATAAATTAAAAATTTAGTTCTTCAGTGGACAAGCCACATTTAAAGTGCTCAGTAGCCAGATGGACGGTGCAGAATTATGGAACATTTCCTTCATTGCGGAAGATTCTACCAAACAGTGAACTCGAGACTTCCTGTAGTAGGGTTCAGATACCATGGCTTCAACAGCCTAGCAACATAATTAGGGAAAGTTCCCATCTGCTTCTCAGGGACTCCGCTTCCTTATGGACTATTAAGAACTGGTTGAATTTAGGAGCTTCCTTGCACAATTGTTTACTATTAAAGTAGAAAATGATGACCCTCTTAGCCAGCAAGTTCCTACAGCAATGGTTTTACTTACACCGTGGAATACTTAATAGGTCTTAGGTCCCTACTAAGTCTTTAAAACTTCATGAGATATAGTGGGGTGGGCAGCTTATAAATTTGTAAATGGCATGGAGTTAAAACAATAAAAGCAAACAATTCATAAAAGAAGACTGGTAAGAAATACAACAGTATATTAGCTTTGTTTATACTTAGGTGGTGGGATTATGAGAATTTTCTGGGCTGGTGTTGACTTTCTGTTTTCCAAATGTGCATCTTTAGTAATAAAGAATATATCTGAAAAGCCCACATAGCTAGTGTGACCACTTTCCCCCCCACCAGCATTAGGACAGAATTTTCTGTACGAAAAAAAAAAAAAAGATTCCATTTATTTTGATTCTAGTTCAATGCCTGCCACTAACTGGCCATATTCATTGGCCCACGTCGAATGAGACGACATACGTAAAGTGCGAATCAACAACTGTGCGTCCCTGCCATGGCCCCCAGAGCAGCCTGTGTCCCCATGGTGCTTGAGAGCTGCCTGCTGGTCCGTCCCCCACTAGACTTTGCAGGCGGCGTGGACACTCCCACCGGTGCATCACCAGGGCCAGGTGCAGACAGCAGGTCTGCGGCAAAACCACTGAGTTGTGTGTCCGTCATCTTATTTTCTCTTCACTAACTGCCCCAACCTCGGTCATTTATTTTTTCACCCCCTTGTGGTATTGGTGGAAGGTGATGCACATCCTTTTTTGGAAAGACTAATGTCATGAGCAGTCAGTATTTTAAAGAGGTTCCCTTATCCGGAGGAGGTGCCCCTACCCATACTGAAATCCCGTGGCTGAGCCCTCCTGCCCCCACACTGAGCACACCAGGCTCTCGGCGCCTCCCTGGACGCGAATAGTCAGGCGCGGCTCCTAGGCACCGCCAGCGCAGCTCTGAGGGGACGCGACCAGAGAGAGGCTGGGAGAGCAGCTTACCCGAGTCCTCGTGGCTGTGCTTCAGGTAAACAGGGTCCAGTTTAAAGGCTCCTGTTAAGTCTGTTCTCTTTTTCACCCTGGTTTCAGAGAACAAATAACAGGACTAATGACCAAGCACCTTAGATTGGACCACATTGGCCCCACTGCCCACACTGTTGAGATCGGGCACCTGCTTCCAGCCCCCCACCCCCCGCCACCCTGAACACCCTCTGCCCCCACAGGCCCTCTTCTCCCCAGCACGGCATCCTCTCCAGAGTGAGCACCTAGGGAGGGAGTGTTACAATCAAAAATAAATATGTGGTCTTTCCCCCTGTTGCTGGCATACGGCTCCTACAGCCCTGGGAATCTCCAAGTGATAAGAATGTCTTTTGTACGCACATGAGATGACTGGTGGCTGGGGTCTCTGAGACAGCTTCCGAAACATGATTAGAGGGTTAGAACTTGCAGCCCCACCCCCATCTCCAGGGAGGGGAGAGGGGCTGAAGATTGGGCCAGTGATTTACTCCATCTGCCTGCTTAATGAAAACTCCTTCGACAACTCCTAAATGACAGGGTTTGGAGGGCTTCGGGGTTGGTAAACGGTTCCAGGTGTCAGCACGGTGCTGCACCCAGAGAAGGCATGGAAGCTACGTGACCTGCCCCCCCCGCCCCCCCACCAGCCCCATACCTTGCCCTGTGCACCTCTTCATTCGTACCCTTTATTATAAACCTGCAAACATAAGTAAAATGCTTTCTTGAGTTCTCTGAGTTGTTCTAGCAAATTATCGAACCTGGGGCAGGGATTGAGAAACTCTCTCCACCCGGCTTTGCAGCCACGTGGGACAGAAGTGTGGGTCCCCTGGGACCCACTACCTAGGCTGGCATCTGAAGTAGGGGCAGTCTAGGGGGACTGAGCCCTAAACCTGTGGAGTCTGCTGCCGCCTCCGGGTAGTGTCAGCGTAGGACTGGATTATAGGCCCCCTGGCTGCTGTGTGCAGAGCGGAGAATCTGAGGTAGGAGGAGACCACACAGGTCAGCTCCTGTTCTCCAGCGTCCAGGCCGGGCACAATGCCTGGTGCCCAACGGCATCAGGAAGTGTGTGCTGGACACACAAGAGATTAAAGAGCAGGAAGGCAGAGATGCCCGTGCTGTGGACATGGGTCCTTGTCCACCGGTCTGTCCCAAGGAGCACTCACCGATAGCCACTCTGGGTAAGTAGGGCCCCAGCTCTCACTGGGGCTGGGATCTGAAGGACCTGCGCTATATGATAATTGCCTCTCCGCTTCATTTGGCAGTGTAGACACCATCTTGAAGCAATTTTGCGGCAAATAGTTTACCCTAGGGGCAAACTAGGGAAGAAATCAATCTGACAGTAGCTTAGGCTTGAAAACAAATAGTGTGAGAGTCCTTGAAAGATAAAAACCCAGTGAGCATGAAATAGGATGCTAGAATGTGGCTTACCAATGAGGACCTGGGAGGGAAAGAGGCTAGATTTATTTATAAAAGATAATTGAGGCTTCATTTCTTAAAGGGTTAAAAGATAGACTAGGTCAGTAGAAATAATAAGCTGTCTCGTGCATATTCTCACTTTGACCTGGGGATGTGTCAGAGTTCTGTGGCATCACAGGCATTTTATGAGGAGCCACTAGAGGGTTTCCTGTGGTGTCTCTGTGCTAGGGCAAGCTCTGAAAGAGAAGGGACGAGGAGAGGGCAAGGGTGTGAAGATCCACGGCTATTAGCGCAACTCCGCCCTATTCCCAGGAAGATCACACCTCCCCTCCCCACCGACTCTCAGCCAGGATCTTCCAGCTGATTTTTTAAATTAAAAAAAAAATATTATGCCTGTAAAAGCCATACAAAAGGGCATAAGGAATAATATCTCTACCCTCTGCTTGTGAAATAAAACTTAAATCCTAAATAAAAGGTAAATCTTCCTGTGTGGCGCACCCGCACCCGTCCCTCACTCTCCCTGCACTACATAGGAGGCCACGAGGCTGAATTTGGGTTAACCCCTCCCACGTAGTTCTTCAGAGTTTTCTGCACAGATTCCTGAGCAATCTATAGTACTATTTTGCATGGTTTTTGGTTTTGGGGATGGAGTGCAGTGGCATCATTATAGCTCACTGCAGCCTCAAACTCTTGCCTCAGCCTTCTGAGTAGCTGGGACTACAGGCAGGCATCCCCACCCCTGGCTAATTTTTCTATTTTTTGTAGAGACAGGGTCTACTTCGTTACGTTGCTAATCTTCATTATTTTCCTCCTTTTAGTGCTTAGGGGTTTATTCTGTTGCTGTTTTCTAGTTTAACGTGGACACTTAGCTTATGGTTTTCTGGCTTTCCGCTCTTCTGTCGAAGTCTGTCTCCACGTGCCACTTTAGCTGCCTGTCACTGGTCCTACCGCATGTTTATTTCTACCTAGTTCTCAGTAGTTCCAATTTCCCATCACACCTTATTCATCGACCCATATTTCCAATATGTCTGCGGTGGTTTCCTCTTCATCAATATTTAGGTACTGGCTTTGTATTTCCTTGTGACATTTAATGGCTATTATTAATAAGAGGAAGAATTTACTTAAATAAATAGATGTGCATGTGTACACGCACAGTCACAACACGGAGTAACATCCTTTCAAGGCAGCAGCCACCTGGCGCTGCAGGGCCTCTCCGTGAGAACAGCCTCTCCTTGAGGCCACATTCCTGGGGGAGGAGGGGAGGAACCGCCACGTGGGGCTGAAAGGTTGGCTCCTTACGTTTTCTTTTTTAAAAGTCTACACTATGTAGGGCTCACACATTACCTCCTGGTGCCAAAAACAGCTAAAAGGATTTAAGATACTAAAGGGCTCCCAGACCAAAGTGCAAAGAAACCAAAAAGACATGTAGAAAATTGTCTACTAACTGTTTTAACACAAGTTCTAGAATCAAGTCTTACCATTACTAGAGCAATTAAAACTCTTGAAAAGAAACTGAATTTTTAAAACCTTTCCAATGTAACAGAAGTGTGCAAATGCTATCAAATAATTTGTGATAAAATTTAATTTTGGTGGGAAAAAAAACCAAGCTTTTTTTTAAATGTAGATAATATATGCCTTTGTGTACATGGAATTTGAAACTTTCTTAGGAGATCTGATATTAAGGAGACATACAGCTCTGGGCAAAATGATCCACATTTACATATAAAAGATTCAAAATACCAAATGAGCAATAAAAAGCTTATGAACAAAATAATGAATTCATTATGAAAAGTGTTTACTATGCTTGTAATGATTGCAAGTTTTAGAAACTTCAATTATCTTGTCCATTTCAATATTTAAAGAATACAACCAAAGCGTTTATGTTAAATTTTGGACCAACCATTGGTAAAATCTCATTAAACAAAAGAGAGGCACTTCTTACTTTAAGGAATACCAAAAAGCCAGTGAGAACAATAAAAAAAAATCCATTTATGTGTTGTTTGTTGTATCAGTGTTTTAAAAGACACTGTAAAAAATTCCCCACTTCCGATCATTAGTTTGCTTGGTTTGAACTCTTCATTGTTGTTGTTGCTGTTTTAGAAACAGGATCTCGCTCTGTCTCCCAGGCTGGAGTGCAGTGGCACCATCACAGCTCACTGCAGTCTTGAACTCCTACGCTCAAGCGATCTTCCTGCCTCAGCTTCCTGAGTAGCTGGGAATACAGGCGTGCACCATCACACCCAGCTAATTTTTTTATTTTTTGTAGAGATGAGGGTCTTGCCATGTTGTCCAGGCTGGTCTTGAATTCTTGTCCTCAAGTAATCCTCCCACCTCAGCCTCCCAAAGTGCTGGGATTACAGGCATGAGCCACCACGCCCAGCCCTGCTTGGTTTAAACTCTTAGGAGTGTGGAGGTTTGCCTGTCCTTTTCTGATTTCTAGTTCTTACAAATATCCTCATTATCTGTATTCTATTGTATTATGGCAGATCACATTACTCCAGTAATCTCTTACACTGTTAAAATATTTAAGTTTATCCCATGATATTCAGGACAGTGCAAAAAAGGCCTCTGAATAGATTCTCAGCCTTGCTTCTCCCAACTCCCTGTGTACCACGAGGCGCTGTCTCTCCTGACACCCTCTGCAAACAGGCAGGGGAACCACCCACGGAGCACGCTCAGTGAACCCACCTCTCAGGTGGGCAGGGGAATGGAGGAAGGGGATGCCGTGGTCCCACTATTTGCCTTCTGCCTCAGCTATACATCCTGGGCTAAAATTCACGACTATTTTCAGTACTTAGAGAGAAAATGGGTCAATGACAGCCTGAACAAAAGTGGAAATAGAATCGGAGCCTGATTTTGGCTCACTTACAACAAAAAACAGCCCTCATTCTCCCAGTTCGTCTATATCCATAAGGAAGGATCCCAGCATGTTCTATGTGCAGCCTTTTGTTTGTATGTGTGTTTTTTAAATGTGTGTTGCTTTGTGTCACATACTCTTGGTTTGCATGCTGTGAGATACAGAATTCTATCTTCCTCTTTCCACTTAGCACTAGATTTTAAAACTACGCCCCTATTGCCATTAAACACTGCATCTGTGGCTCTGGCTTTGGCACGGATAACTGAGCCCTTACACAAACCAACCAAACAGCTCGAACTGCAGGTTCCCGATCTACAAAGTAGGGTACCAACCCCTCCCCAAGGAAAGTTGCTGGGAAGTTCAGACGAGCACTGTCATTGGCTAAATTGTGCCCCCCACACACACATTCACGTGTTGAAGTCCCAACGCCCAGGACATCAGAATGAGACTGTATTTGGAGACAGGGCCTTTAAAGAGGTGATTTAGTTAAAGTCACATGAGAGGGACCCAAGCCAATCTGACTAGTGTCCTAATGAGAAGGGCAAACATGGACACAAAGACACGCCAAGGGAAGACCCTGTGAAGACATGGCAGAAGACGGCCGTCTGCAGCCAGGAGAGCGGGCTCGGGGAAGACCAGCCCTGCCCACACCTGGGTCTTGGACTGCTGGCCTCCGGGACTGCGAGAGAAAAACATCTCTGTTGTTTAAGCCCCCCAGTGTGTGACACTTTGTTATGGCAGCCCTAGCAGACTCACACAAGCACAGTGTCCCCAGCAGTAAAGATCAGCAATTTCTATGTTGAAACACAAATGCTTCAAAGTCAAATTCCATCAATCAATATTCATGCTGTTTTCATGGTGTCATGGAATAAAACCTTTCCCAGGTACGCAGTATCTCACCAAAACCCTTGACCGTTATTCTGCCCAGAACCCACCAGCTCAGGAGAGAAAGAGCACATTCTATATCATAATTTAAACACCTATTTATTTAGCCTTTCGAACCCATAGGGAGGTAGGAAACTCCTCGAGTACTGAAACCACCCCACCGCTGTACTCCCCACCAGAAAATGAGAACTAACCCATCACCCTTCTCTGCCACAAACTTTCCAACACCGAAAATGCTCTTGGTCTTAGGGCTTATGTTTAATTGTTTCTGCAGACTAATCACTCTGTCCTTTCTCCCTTCTCCAAATGGCATGGCCTCATCCCTGTGCTTCCTGCATCTCTTCTCTATATCACTTCCACGTTGTCAAATTTCTCTTTACAGGCTGGTGCCTGAACTGGACACGGAATGCCAGGGAGGATCTGCAGAAGACAGACGGAAACACAGCCTTCTGCTCGCGTTACATCTGCTCTGGAGTGTCTGCAGCAGCCTAGGGTCACATCAGCTCTGGCGACAGGCACATCACAGCCCACGAAGGGTTCAAATCTGTCTCACCATGTCACTGACAAAGCATGTTTTCTCTCAGCCTTAACATTTGCACTGGTTGTCTGGACCCAGGGACAGGATGCCGCATTTATCACACTCCGCACATTATGTCAATCTTTGCGTCAAAGACCAGTGGTCCAAAATGTTTCTGGTCCCTGATAGTGTGGCAATGTCTGCGCCCTCACAGGGCTGCACAGGGTCCAGAGCACAACAGTGAGATAAGGGCCTTTAAGGGCTCCTGCCCCCATCAGCACCCACTAAGCAGCTGTTACTGATACTGTTGCTCCCGCCAACCACTGACAACCTCCTCGTGGCATGAGACAGCCCCTGCTCCCATCAGCCCCGCCCAGTAGCACCTCACGCCCACAGCCCTGGCCCTGGGGGGTGGTTCTGGGGCTTACTGTGTGGAATGCTGCTGGCATTTAAGGACATCCAGCCCCCTGCAAAACAAAAGGCATCCAGGCAGAGCCCTTGTTCCTCAGAGCCCCTGCTGACTCTCTGCCTGGGCTCTCTGAACTCCAGCTCCCTTAGAGAGTTTTCCCAGATGACCAAATATCTCAGCAGAACAAGACCACATCTCAACCAAAATTAAATCTCGAAAAAAGGGACTCTTGACACGCTGTATCAACTGTCCTCACTGTGTTCCACTTTAGGAAAAGTAGTACAACAACTTCAAGAATACAAAAGGATACTGACATTCATAATAGCTGTAGCTTTTATAAATCTTTGTTAGTATTTCAGACAAAATTAAGCCTGAAATGCCCACATACTCATTGGTTTTAAAATTGCATATCAGAGGTTTGGGAAAAAGACTGACCAAAAAAAAATTTTGATGAGCAAAAGTAAAAAGCAAAAAACTGGAACTGTGGTTTGCCTTTAAATAAACTAGTAAAAGGGCAAACTGATTGTTTGTATACCTTACAGAATTCATGCAAAGCCTCCTGGCTTTATGACTGATTAATCAACTTCTTACTCTAAAATATTTAGAGGCACCAGTTTCTAGCATCACCATAATACTCCCCAACAGCATTATTTCTTTAAACGTCATGTGTGTGATGTAATATCATCCACCTTAATTTCTGAGTTCTTTTTCTTGCTCTAAATATTACCAAGGTATTCTGACACTGTTATTAAGAATTTCCAGGGAAATGCTTAGGAAATAGGGTTACTTTTATTTTTCCTTAGCAAATGCTTTTTAGCCTTTAGACTCAGATTGCTTAAGCTTAGTATTAGACTAAGACTGATTAAGGATCCAAGAATAAAGACACAGAAGCAACTGAATTAAAAGTATGCACCAAAATTTCCTTGCATTTGTTTTCTGTTAATGCTAGATAAGTCAAATTATAGGTCGTCTTTTTCAGCCTTCTCTTTCCTTATGCCAGGATGTTGCAGTCATGTTCTAGATAAAAGTTTCCAGCCAGGGTAAGATTTAGCAAGAATGCTATCAACAGCGCAGAATCCGAAGCAAGCAGTGAGCTCAGTGACTAGATGTGCCCCTTCGGCTCTGGCACCTTCTCCCTGCCAGCTTCCTTTTAGAAAGGCCATCAGCTCCGAAGAGCAGCGGGACAGGCCCCTGGCATCTCATGAACAGGGAAACTTACCACATGGCAGAGCAGTCAAAATTCACCAAAAGCCATTTGTGGGGATTGAAGTTGAAAGAATCTGCAAACTGCCAAGGAACAAGAACAACAAAAAGAAAACATTTTAGTTATAAATGTTCAGTTATAAAACAAGACCTCATACATATTAATGAAAAGTCTATATCCCCAAACGAAAAGCACTTTCAAATTTGCAGACTCTAAAGTGACACAAAATATTCACATTGTGTTTCAAACTACTGGAATATTTGGAATAATCAGAATTTTAGTTCACAAGTACGACATCCAGAAATTGTACCGATTTGGCCTGTGAAATATTTTTATGCCTGCAGTACCTTCAGTGTCATAAATTAGCAAAGTTCTGAGAATATATGTGGCATCATAAACAAAGGGAAAGTAAAAATCTCATAACTAACCTACAGTAATTAGGGATCAACCCAGTTTTCATTTAATCGATTGGCTCTTTTGCCAGCACTACCGTAATATACCGACAAATCTCCCCATTTACCTAAATATTTGCTTCTTTATTTTTAAAGACAACATCCAAGTTCATTGCATTCCTAACAGCTACAGGTTCCCTGGCTGGACGATCTGGACAATAAGTACAAACAACGGCTCCAGCTGCATGCATCAATGTCAGCTGCTCCCGTGTTTTCAAGGAGAAAATCAGAGATTCCAGTTACCAAGCATAGTCAAGGAGGGCACCCTGCGTTTTCACTGAGCTGTCATGAATGGTGCTTCCTTACATCTTTCAAAACGCAGGCCCTGGTTTGTCATCCGAACAAGAACTGGGTCGACCTGCAGGGCCAGGGGTTGGCCGCATGCTAAATCCAAAACTGAAGCAGAAATAAAGGCAGCTGCCATCGCAAGGCCCCAGATTCTGGTGGAATCTGCTCCTGGGAAACTTTTCAATCCTTTCGAGGCTTCCGGGCACCTCTTCTCTATTTGGCTCCAGGGACATGCACTGGAAAGGCAGCAAAGGCTTAAGGGCCCAGGCCTGTGTCCTCGGGGAGACATTTGGCCAGAGATGGCAACCTTCCTCCTCCACTGCTCTGGAGGTGCAGATTCATTTCCTTCCAGGTTTCAATAAAAGTAATTTTGAGTAAGAGACAGGAAATTACAGCAAGTTTCATTTGTTGATAAAAGGAGACAAAAGGTTAAAGAGGAGCTTTGTTTGCTGGGGATTTTATTAGTTCTCTCCTGTGGGGCTGATCTGTTTAAACTTCTTTCATTACCCAACTGTGCTATTTTCCTCCTGCTGACAGAGAGAAAGGCTCTTATCTCCCAGGGTAGGGCCACAGCAGGATATTGCAGCCCCTTATCTGGCCCAGCGAGAGCGAGAGCAGCGACAGCCCTCAGCCCCGCAAGGAAAGAGAGGCCGCAGCAATAACGGAGGGAAATTGAAATGACTCATTGTGGGCATGAAACACTGTCTGCTGCCGATAGGATCTAGCTGGAGTGCCTGTCGCTCTGGTGGTCTGGCAATTAGGCACCCCCTGTGAAAGGCGAAACCATAGGCTGTCAGTGCGTGGGGAAAAGAAGAGTAGTGGTAGGAGAAGACCACGAAACCCTAAACCTGATGCCTAGACTTAGAAAAGGGCACCTAGCCCAGTCGTGCCTTGGGGAGAGACACATAAAGAATCCCAGATGAACACTAGCCTCTCTTCGCTTGAAACTGTCCAGGGACAGGCATTTCCAGTGATATATATTCTCTCCACAATAAAAGATATTTATATGGCACAGAGATTTATTCATTTCCCAGCACCAACGCCCACCAAACTAGCTATCAGCAGCGAACTGTGTAGCGCTGGTTTTGGCATCACATTATCAGAACTTCCCGCCCACTACACCCCTTCTCCAGCACTCCCGAAGGCCTCTGGCAGCTCCATGGCCCCGCCAGGACCCATCCAATTCCTAGCACGTATTAAGTACTAGATCAATAATTATTGAATGAACGAATGTGATGGAAATATAAACCAGAATGCTACTTTATTTTCTAGTAATAAGGGGCTATTCTTTTCAAAGATGGGACTATTTGTATGCTACATCTCTCACACCCACTTTTCTAGTGTGTTGCAGCATTATGAGAATTCAAGGCAGGAATTAGAAAATTGATTGGCAAGCCTGACATGTGAGCAGAGAAAGGTTTTGAGGAATTTTCTCCAAGCCACAGTGAAAAATAATAAAAGCGTCTAATGCATGCTCAGTACTTACTGTGTGCCAGACACTGTTTTTAAGCCCTTTAAATATGACAAACCCATCTACTTCTTACGACAGTCCCACAAAGGAGGTATCATTATGAAATCCATTTTAGGAGGCGTAGGGATGAAATCTAACCTGCCCAAGGGTGCACAGCTAGTCCTGAGGGTCAATCTGGGATTTGAGCCAAGGAGCCTAAGGCCTTGGTCTGTGCCCTTCATCCTGCACTGCATGTGGGTGAGGTCCCACGAAGTCCCTGTGCCTAAGCAGAAAGCATTTCTTCCTTGGCCAACGCCTTGGCTCCTTCCCCTGGACGCTGCCAAAGACTGCCTCTCAGGACCCTTTGAGTCGTTTATATCTGAGTTCCTGGAGAGGACAGACTTCCTGCACTAAGAGCTGCCACCAGCAATGAACTCCTGCCGGGGTCTGAAATAACCCATCACAGCACATCTGTGAGCTGTTTCTTTGTGTTAAGTCTGGACCATCTACGTTCTGCAGCTCTTTGGAGAAGCAAAGTGTTAGTCAATAATTTTGACGGCTATTTCTCAACAGAGGCAGGTGCTTCACATCGCATTCCAAACCACATTTTACGATTTCAGAGGGGCATTTAAAGGCATTGGCGGCCGCTCATTCAATATTGGTGAAAGTGGATATTACCTTCAGATGTGTGGGCAGAACAGGACTAACATGTTGAACAAGATTGTATGGAATTGCAAGTGGCTGTTTTAAATTACCCTTTGAGCTGAAATGTATTAAGATCTTATTCTGTTCCTAAATATTTTCCCACACTTTGATAAGCTAAAATCTATCCTGTCATGACAGCCCTGTCCAGGATTTGTGTAGACTGAGAATAGCTGTAAACGTCAGGGGTAGTTCAAGAAGGCAGCTTGTGTGACCAGGGAAGGTTCTCAGCCCTGGCCTGAGGACGTATAATTTCCAATAATCCCTGGAATTAGTTCAAAAATAATTTTCCTGAAACAAACCTCAGTAGCAAGAAATTGAAGTCATTAATAACAGAGCACTTTAAAAAAATGACCTTATTAAAGAGCGAAGAGCACGCCTACCTCCACTCCATTCAGAAGATGCCGGAACTCAGGGCAGATGAAGGCGCTGCCCGCGTAGGCAGCGTCGATGTGCAGCCACATGTCCTCCTTGTTGCCTAAAGTCCAGAAGCAGCGTGTGAGTGCTCAGACAGACGCCCTCAGCACATGAGTCTGACAGCTGCCCCCGCGCTGCCCCCGCGTGCTTCCTGCTCACAGAGTACCCATGGTACTTGTTGAACGAATACTAGCGCTCTGCAAGGCCCCGGCACCTGCGGGCGATCGCTGAGGGCAGAGGTGGGTGTTCCTGGCCCCAGACGCGCACCAGGTGCTCAGCGAACTGGAGTCTGTTGCACCCCGTGGTTTTCAAGCCTGAACCTCACTGCTCAGCTTGGCTCTCGGGGACCAGTATCCCCCAACCCTGGGCTCACCCACCCACATTTTATTCCAGTCCCACCGCCATTTTCTGTCCTCCCCCATGTCACCCACCTGGGATTTCCTGCCTGGACTCCCCTTACCATTTTCACGCCCTCCCCACAAATGTCACCTGAGGGAGGACGTGGACACAGGCCACACTGGCCCTATCTGCCCCACTCCATCCCCACAGGGAACTTAAGTCATTCATTTCACATGGTCTTCAACCATCCTCCACCCCCTTCGTGGATAGGGTTTCTGTTTTCCAGCTGTAGCCGGACAGCCGTGGGCGGGGCCGCCCTGATCTGGGAGGCGGGAGAGCCCCTGTGTCCCGGGCCCCCCGGTGCAGACACTCCTGGGCTCGGCTCCTGCCTGCAGCCGCCCACCAGCTGCGTGACCATACCTACCTCCCCCAAGCCTCGTCCTCCTCAGAGGTGAGATGGAGATGAACACAGTGCCCAGAACCTCGAGGGATAACGGGGCAATATTCGCAACATGCCCATCAGGACACCCAGCGCAAAGTCAGCGAGAAAGACATGCGACTTCCCTGGCTGTTCCCGCCCTCGGCACCAGCACAGCCATGAAATGCGTAAGGGCGAAGGATGGCGGAGAGGACACAGGCCACCCTGCCCCTCACAGGGAGGGGTGCTGGTGTCAGGCACCGTGTCACAGGTGTCAGGTGTCATAGTGTCACCTGTATCTGTAGGGATCAGTGGGTCCATCGCTGGCTTTGGTCAGTGTGCAGTGGGGCGTGGTGCCTCCCTGGGGCCTCTGTGGTAAGGGCACTAATCCCAGTCCCGAGGGCTCCACCCGCAGGACTGAGCACCTCTCAAAGGCCCCACCTCCTAACAGCATCCCCTTAGCTTAGGGTTTCAGCACATGGAGTCAGGGGACACAAACGTTCGGGCCATAGCAAGCACGAAATTGTATGCCTGGCCTGCGAAGGAACCCAGAGTTCCTGTTCACCTCACGGCATATCTGAGCTACAGCAGTGATGGCCATCTCATCACCGTCCCGTGACTCTCCAGAGGGACACTGCCTGTCACCCTAAGACCCCGGCTCTTCCTGGCTTGCTGCCACGCATGTGGGGTCATGCAAGTGCCAGGTGAGGCTGATTCTGGGGGAGGTGGCACCTCCACCTGTAAACCTTGCTTCAGGGCCACCCTGCTCCCGGATCTCTGGCCTCCCGACCCCCGACAGGGTGGCATCCAAGTCCTCAGGACACATTTGATTTTGGTAAAATGATTTTGGTAAAATTAAAGCCCTGAGGGCTTTAATCCTGAAGATACAATGGAGTCAGAGCTTTGAAACGCCTTTATGTCTGTTACCAGCAGTGGTTTTGTGGGAGCCTCTGTTCCCTCCATGCTTGTTGTTGGCCTAAAACTCCCACAGAAGGGAACTCAGAGATGTCCACCAGGAGTAGACTTGGTAGGGGCTTCTCTCGTTTTCATTAGGAAGTAAAGAGTCGTTGGCACCACCTCTGTGCTCTGCATTGCACATGTGACAGTACACTCTTCCCTCTGGCCCCTCCGGCACACGGCGGTCCCGCTAGGAGTCAGGCAGACACAGAGACCAGGCCAGAGCTAGGGGAACTGCACGCACCAGGGAACATCTAGCACTGAGGGAAGGCCACCAGCCTCTTGCTGCCGGGCCTGTGTCTTTACGAGGCTTCCTTGGAACGTAGTGCCCAGGCCTGGCTGCCCCTCCAGCCACACGTCCCCGCCCGCGGCCATCCCGGGGCCATAGGACGTGGCTGTGGCTGCCTGCCCTGCCCTGCGCCGTCCTCCCACTCCCTGAGACGGCCTCTCCCGCCCATCCAGGACCCCTGTCCTCAGTTCTCCCACGTTCACACCTGGCACCTAACTGACTTCAATCATCCTCTTTTTGTATCTCATCCTCTTCTCAGCTCAGCCTGCCAGACAACCGATCCGTCCAAGCGGACCAATTTAAACAGCCTCTCTGGTGAATCATTTTAAAAGCACTAAAAAGAAAATGTCTTTCCTAAGGCAGCAATTCGAGAAAAACACCTTCTGATTTGTTTTCTTTCTCAGATGATGGTGGGCAAATAATTTATATGAATTATTTTAATAGATTATTCTAATCCTACTATAGAATAAGGTCAGCTCAGAGTCTCAGAACAGCCCTGTCTGGAGTTGAAGAACATAAATATCTGGTGACAGGTAAATGGTATTGGACAAGGGAATGTGGGTACAAAGGTGCTGACTTAGTTGCTAAGGCACTAATGACGGTAACATTACCATCAATAAAAATATAATTGTCATAATTTCAAAAATTGACCTCCATATAAACTTCGGCAATGGACAAAAGGGCTTTGGTGTTGGCCCACGTCACCTGCTTCAGCACAGCCCCAGAAGAAAGTTCTGTGTTTAGAACCAAACCAATCACAAATCCAGCTTTGCCCGCAGTCCAAACAGGGAGCCCCAGGACAGCAGGACCCCTGAGCTGGACCTGTCCAGGGGACCATGACCCACAGGTACCACTGCTGGCTGTCATCTCCCCGGCCCGGTGGGCAGCCAGAGCTGGGCTCCAGGGACAGCGGGCCATATGGCTCTGTCCGGCAGAAGACCTCAGCCCTCTAAATCCGATGGCCCTGGGGAATTACATCAGTCGGCCACTGGCCAGGACATTCAGTTCTTAGCCCGACATCTGAGTCAGAGGACGCCAAGTTGCTTGGCTGAGTTGACAAAGTTCATGGCTAATGAGGCCAACACCGAGGCCGGAGTCCTGATTGGGCGGTTCTGCCCCATCTCTCCAGCCCTGGGCCAGGCACGACTGGCTGCAGCCAGTTGTCCTTCCAGATGTCTGCCACGGGTCATAAATGGCAGGGCAAAAGACCTGTGTGAACAGGCAAATCCATGCACTCCTGACTTCCTCTCTCCCTTTTTTTTTTTTGAGACCGGATCTCGCCTCAATTCTCACGGCCGGTTACCAGTGTTGCCTTCCTCGTGGCACAGCAATATGCTCTGCCTTTGGGATAGCACATTTTCCCTGCATGAACTCATCCTCTGAACAATCCTGTGAGGGAAACATTGGTATTTTAAAGTATTTAAAGTTACAAGTGTTGCTTTTTCTCTCCATTTTGCAGACGGAGCAAAAGCAGCTCAGAATTTAAGGCTCGCGACTTTCAGGGCTGGGCCTGGGCTGGACCATCCCCTACACCATGAGCAGCTCATGCCAGAGCACCTCCATAATGGCCCTCCCCAGCTGCCAACTGCAAGACGGGAGTCTGAGGGCCAGGCAAGGAGGGCCCACTCCTCTGACGCAGACCACGGCCCAGCCTTGAGTCAGCAGCAGTGAGAGTTGTGCTCAGCTTCAGCAGGCTGAGTGTGAAGACAATTGTGAGCAGTTGACGACGTGGTCTCTGGCACAGGCCACCGGCGTGTGGTCTGAGGGCCTGACTCAGGCAGCTCCCCTGGAGTGGAGCCATCAGAGCGTTCGTGTCCCTGAGGGACAGTGTCCCTGCGCAGGGAGAGTCCTTCCGTCCACAGAACAGCTCCAAGGCCTGCAGCGGCCCCAGAGTCACATTAAAGGTGAAATGTTAGAAACATAGATGCTTACTCATTTTTCACCTTTTGAAAGCACAGAATTCTAGTCTCTATGAGAAAACCTAAGGGCTCTGACTGAGGGAAAGAGAGATGAGAGTGACCCAGGAAAGCATCTGAAGCACAGAGTATTCTTTGGAGAAATCTAGTTTTATTATATTGATTTGCTAAATTATATTAAGCAATTGACTTAACTATTAATTTATTCAGTAATTCCAAAAAGGCTAAAAATGAATATGCCAAAAGATTAACTTCAAGCATGGACGAGTCTCATGTCATGTATATACACGACCTTCATGTGAGGGTTGTTTGTTGCACTAAGATTTTAAAGAGTTTATTCTCCTTAACAGGTCCAACAGAGCCTGCAATTTTATGTCATTGTTACATTGCTTGGAATATTTTTCTTACAAATAGCGCTCAGCTCTTGTCCAATTAGCCCAAATTCTGAGTGTGTGGAGCTCGAACTGCTGAGGTTTGTGTTATTGCAAGTACAAGAAGAGTTTGACAAATCATCATAACATGAACGTAATGACAAGGAGAGCCCAAGAGCAGGGTCTGCTAGATTTCCCACACACTGAGAACGTTTTTCCACAAAGCAAACTGAATCAGATACTTACAGAGAGGGCCTACTTCTAAGAGGTTGTCAAAGGAGCAGCAGGATGTGGTCCCCAGCGTAGCAACCACCTGGAGAGTAAAAAGCGGACAGCCTCTTAGCCCCAAGGTCAGGTCATCGCTGCAGCCTCCACACACACAGCTGCTGCCCTGGCTCTGCCCAGGGCACTGAATGGGGTGCTCTATGAACGTGTGCTAAATGTAGACGTGAACCCATAGATGCACGTTTAATCTTTGGGTGAAAGCATCCTAACAGATTAAGAGAAAATCATTTGCAGAAAGAAAACAAAGCTGTGAGGTCAGAAACGGAATTTGCCGTGGTTGGTGTCTTGGGGGCGAAATGAAGCACTGGGCTATCTGGACAGCTATTGCTACATTCTGCTTTATGAAGATAAATATATATATTGAATATAAGAACATAGTTACTACTAACTAGTAGTAACTAACTGTGTTCTGGTAGAAATCGGAAGCCTGCGTGTTTTTTCCTAGTCTGGGGAGTGTGCGGTGTGCATGCATGCACACGTGTCCGGAGCACGGAGCGGGACAGCAGAAACGATACTCCAGCGGGCTGGGGTTGCGTAAGGCACTCTTGGAATGCTTCTTTAGAACAGGCTTTGGCATCAGTGAAGAGCTACACCAGGGTTTTGAGCAAGAGTATCATTGCTCGCTTTAATCTACTGCTTTTCTCTTTCTGAATGATCCTGCTCCCAAAGGTGAACTTCAATCCTTAAAACGTTCAGGAGAAAACAGTACTGACATTGACTATAATTCCAAAAGCAATGTTCTGCAAAAGCGGTGAGTGCTGTTTGTCCCACCACTGGAAAGTGTGGACCAGAGGTCACCGTGCCAGCTCATGTCCTCTGCGTACCTGGTGGTGCCGGGCTAACACTTGCACAGCCCAACGCGTGTTATTCCTACATGTGCGTCTGTCTCCCCCTCTAGACCCATGATGCTCCTGTCATTTGTGTGGCTGGGAATTTGCACTTTGCTGGACACTGAGATGCTGAAACACATTTGCCGAATTGAAACTCTCCAAATAGTCAAAATGCACATTATGTTTACAAACCCAAAGAGCCTAATTGATTTACAGATGTCATGTACTGTCTGGGTAATGAAATTTTTTCTGAGGATAAAGGCAGAGAGGTCAGAAATTCATGTGTAAGAACCCCAGTTGGAGGCCTTTCTGGTTCCCTTTCACCTAAGACTGCCTGCATTTTACCTGGAAGCCAAGTCAGGGTGCTCTTGGCAAGGTAGCATGGCGTCTGCCCCGAAAAGCCTCATCACACTGGCCTGCCCTGCTGCTCTCAGCTGCCCGGCTGCAGAGGGACTCCGCGCTGCTTCTCAGAGAGCCCTCCCGTGCCCAGTCATAGAATGTGGTCCCTCTGGCTGGACGCCAGCGGGGCTCTCTGTATCACTGTGCTGTGCCCAAGGGGGGTCAGTCCCCCAAGGGCTACTCTCAAGCGCAGCATAAACAGGTGAGTTTTATTGTTACTCAGGTCTGGGGAGCCCAGCAGATGGGGAGATGACTGCCACTGAAGACAGTGCGCTACTCACCGTTCCCAAGAGGAGGGGCACAGCACGCCATGGGGGAGGGGCGCATGAAGAAGCACCAGGCCCGCAGGAGGCAGAGGAGATAAAGGGAAAACAGGGGCAGAGGCTGTTATTGGGGCAAGGCAGGGTGTGCAGGCTTAAGATTGGCTCGTTTGAGTAAGTCCAGTGGGCTCCAGGGTTAGGGGCTGCCTCTAGTTGTCTGTAGCTGGCCCTGGGGCCATGGCGCCCAGCTGTTGAGAGCCCCATAGAGGAGGGGTGCGGTGTAGACTCTGCTTGGTTTGCATACGAAAGCGCACTTGCAGTCCCTTCATATGCCTTAACATCTCTAGGAAGCTGCTGACTTCTGAGAGAGTAGTCCGGCCTGGGTCAGCAAGGCCCCAGGATGTCAAAGCATCAGAAACGCAGGCAATAAAAAGGCATTATTAATCCACAGGCAGATAAACCATGTACTTGGGGCAGGACGCCCTGGGACCGGGACTAAGGCCCAGCTCTGTGTCCCACTGGCACCTGCTGAGTTCCTGTTTTCTCACTTACAGCAAAAATGCAGTCTGAAAGGCACTGGTGGGCCTAGCTGCTCTACACCTCAGCACTTCCCTGGTGCCTCCAGCCCCCTTTCTCTAGTCCTCTGTGAGTCCCCTTCTCAAGTCAAGTGTCAAGAATTCTCCACAGTCGCTTCCTTCGGTCTGACAAGCTGAGTCATTTAGTGGGAATTCAAGTCAGCCTGTTATTTTTCTCCGGCATTTGCAATTTCATCCTGATATATAACTGAACATTAAAATGCTCTGTCTAAGGCATCCGGCTGGCTTAGTGGGTAGAGCATGACACTCTTAAAATGTCTCGTGTGTGTCGTCAAGAGAATAGTAAAAATTTCTGTAGTTAAAAATAAAACCGCAGAATGACTCAGCAACATCAATATTGCTTGTAATTTATTTTCTCAAGTTTGAGTCTCTTAGAAAGGACGTATCTGTAGTTCAGCGATTCCTTCAATTTCATCTCATTTTTCTCAGTTAAATGCTAATTGAACTAAATGCAGTAACTTCTGTTATTATAATCCTATGTGCTAAATATCCCCTTGTTAAAATTATTTTCTATCTATTAATGTGTACGTAGAAGAGTATGTACAATGATGTTCACCAAATATTAATACTGTAGATTAGATTTTGGTTAACGTAAACTTTTATTCTTAGATTGGTATGTAATTACTGATGTTTTGTTCTTAGCATGAAACATTTTTGTATTAAATAGAAACAATAAAATCCTGCCTTGTCCTGGAATGGCCTTTGGTGAGAATAAGAATCGGTGACATTTTCTGAGAGCTCACTCCATAGCAGGCCTGGTGCTGAGAGCTTTTCCTATATTATATTTAATCATCACAACAACCTTTTGGGATAGATATGTTTATGATCCCTATTTCACAGTTGACTTAGGTGAGATTCCGAGAGGTAGGTAATTGTCCAAGGACACATAGATAGGCAGAAGCAGACCAAAGGTGACCCCAGGTTTGGTCAACTCTTGTTGTCCTGCAACACCTTGGGCAGACAGGACCCCTGGGGCCCCAGCCCCTGAACCCACCAGTTAAAGAACCCAGTGCCCTGGGCCATGCCAGAGGCCCTTCCAACAAGCCCAAGCATTTTGCTGCTCAAGAAGGTAGCCCGGGAGTGGGCAGCAGAGATCCAGGCTCTCGAGGAGGACGTGCCCGGCTGATGAAGCCGTGGGGCACTGCATGGACAGTGTTCTCAATGGCTTGTCTACGTGGCACTGAGCTACGAGTCAGCCTGTCCTAATTCTCAGAAGCCACTTTAAAGCCAGCACCTGCTCTGCTCTGGGCTCTGATTACCCCAGCTCAGCAGTGCTCAGTGACGCTAACCTGATTGCTGCTGCTCTGCAGAGACATAATCACATTTGTGCAGGGGGGAGGCGGGGCAGGGGACAGTGAGGGCCTCCATCTCCCAGAGCCCACAGGCTTCCTGCGGTGGCAGAGCCCGGTGTGACCTCCTCTCCCGCGTGCTTGCGCCCTGGGCCAGCTGCTCTCCTCATGTTTGTGCCTTGCAGACATTGCCCTCTGTCTATGGCCTGACTTTTACCAAGTGAGCTCATCAGGAAAGCAAACCACCACAAGGAGGAAAGAGAAACTTTATCACAAGCCTCAAGTTAGCACATGGAAGGGCAGTGATTCAGCTTTTCTGGGTCAAATGCTGCCAAACGTGCCCCTTGCTCTCAGCAGTGGGAGTTGAATTTTGAGGGGTCTGCAACCCGTTTGGGAAGATAATGAAGTCCGTGTGTCTGTGTCCCAGAGGATGCAGGCAGTCAATCTGCCTGTGCACAGCCACAGCCCCACCCTCCAGCTCCACAGTCCCTCAGCTGCCGGTTTAAGAGAACAAACCAGTGGCACGTCCTGGGATACCCCATGTCCTTCCACATCTCTGTGTCCAGGAGCACCTGCCTCGCATCCTCTGACAGCGTCTCTCACCTCTTAGCGACAGCTCCCTGATCCCCTCTACCCTCGAATACCTACGTAGCATTCATCAAACGGCGCAAACACTGAGGACTCGTCTGTCTTCCACACCAAGAACATGCCACGAGGAAGGGGACCACGGCCTGCCACACATCTCCAGGGCTGCACGGCGCCGGCGTAGGGGGCAGTCTACAGGAACTAAACGTGTGCTGAGCGCACCAGTGCCGGAGTGCAGAGCTGCGGAACCTCCCTCTGCTCCCATACACGGAAGCCCCGTCTGTGGCTTCTGTCGGCAAAGTATCACAGAGGCTCCCAAGCATCGTGCCGGAACTTTGGTCTTTAGGGCAGAGTTCCAGCACTGGCATATAAATTTGGTCCTTTTTCTCGAGGAAAATGAAGGTTGGTTTTGTTTCTCTGAGTGAAGTGCGTGCTCTCCTCTCAGTGCTCACGCCCCGCAGCCGGCCCGGCTCGCGCACACGGGCGCCGCACGCGCGCACAGACCCCCGTCCCGGCGCGCGCTCCAGCAACCTCTGCTCGCTCCTCCTTCCTCCACAGTAAACTTGCGTATAGAGGAGTCTCTTCCCACATTTTCATTCTCTCGTCAGCCCAGTGGAATCGGAATTTAGCCCGTAGACATTCTAGCAAACTTACTTTGAAGGAAGTCGCAAGTTACTTCCTCTTGGCAAATGAACGAGTGCGTGAACGAGGAGCGCCTCTCGGTGCCTGTGTTGCCTGGCACCTCCCCCCTTCAGCACCTCTCCTGGGGCTCGGCTCCAGTTTACTCCGTTGCTTCTCCCCACCCTGCTCATGCGTCTTTCTCAGCGTCCCTCATGGGCTCGTCTCTCCCGACCCACCTTACATGTGGGTGTGCTCTCCTGGCCCTTGTCTCTCAACGGCTACTTGGTCATTCCTAGTGACATGGGTCCACCCGGGCTCAGATGAACCCCATGTCTGTGTCTGTGTCTCCGGGTCAGACCTCTCCTCTATGTGAACCCAGCTGCCATGGTGGCCCTCCCCCCCAGATGACCCATCAACGTCCGGAGTTAGCTGTGCAAAAGTGAACTCA